GCTAATAGAAACACGAAGGAACCCTCTCTGTGTTATATGCTACGTCATGGCACACTTACAAAACTTGATAGTAATAAGGTCATGAATCAGCTCTAAAAAAAATAAAAGGAGGTAAAGAGGTCTGAGACAAGGAATGAAAAGCATAAGTTTACTTTATTAGGGCTTAGAGATTCAAAGCTGTGGCACATGCTGCGGCGTGCCATGCACACGCTACGACATATGACACAAAGCCATTTTCTCTTATTTTTCTCCCATTATGAGATTCGAGTGACCGACCTCACTCCGAACCTACATTTAAGGTTGAAAACACAACCTAAAATACTCATTAGTCCTCTTTGTCCACACACTACACTAATTCTCATTTAATTATACTTAATTAATTCAATTAATAGGAGGTTAAATTTTCATGATGTTACAAACAGTAGATCAATATAAAAAAAGCATGGTTATTGTTTTAAAAAAATTATTTATATATAGGACTGAGATTTTTTTAATATTTCTTTGCATAAAACAATGGGTAAAAATAGATTAAGTTGAGTTAGACTTTAGCCAAATAGGCTTAACTTGTGTGGTCAGTAAGAGGCCTGTGTTTAGGCTAAAGCTTATATAAGGCTATTTTTTATGATTTAAGCATGAGCCTACCTATAACTTGACCTGGCTTGAAAGTCTATTTAAAAATATTCTTAAAAGTAAGCCTTTTAAACAAGCTTATGTATTAGTTTTAAACATCTCAAATATGTTTTAGGACTATTAAAATATATAAATAACATGATTTATTAATTTCAATATATTATAATTAAGATGACTTACCAATTACAATACAACAATAAAGTAACAATGTTAACATTAATATATTAGTCCAATCTAAAACATAATTAAAAATAAAAAAGAATATATTGATTAAAAATCAAATAATGAAACTAATGTATATGTAATATATTACATAATAATATATAAATAGGCTCGTCTATTAGGCTTGTAGGCTAGGTTTTGTAAAAATAGGCTTGGCTTATTAACTAAATAGGTCTAATAAATTGCTTGAGCCTGACCTGAGTTTATTTAGTGAATAAGTTAAGTTAGATTTGAAGTAGGTCATGTTATAGATCCTTAACAGAGATCTAGCACAGTTATACCCCTACATGGGACAAGTTTTATAAGATTATATTGTAGCATGTAAGTATTAAATAATATATTTTCTTTAAAAAAACCTTTTTAAAATTGTAATTAATATATTTTTTAGTTGTAATTAATATATATAATTAAAAGGACAATGTGATGGTACTAAATGTATTGAATATGTTAACATCTGACTAACATTATTAATATATACTGAAGTGGAATTGTGATTCAACATAATAATATCATTAATTATTTACTGTGTTCTGTTTCATGTTTCAATCCATTCAATAATATTTCCACTATTTCAGCATAAATATCAATCACGTTAGTTGCGTATCATCATATTTAATATTGTTAGCGTCCTTTCACCGTTCTTTTGGGCATATTCATAGATAAAGAAACTAAAGTTGTAGATAAGATAAATTAGAAGGACTAGAAGTAACACTCCTATCAAAACATGTTAAAACTACGAGACCAATAGTTGTATTTTTCCATTGAGAAAAGTGCTATCTAGGAAAAGATGGGATGATTTAAAAACATAAATTTTTTTCTTGAATTTAAACAAAGTAGGTAATTTTTTTCCCTTATGAAACAACTGAAATCTAGTAATATCAGCAAATTAATATTACTAACTTTAGATGTAACAATCGGGATTCTTTATGTGAATAAAATTACAAGTGTGACATTACATTCTCTTGCTAATAACTTGAAAGAATCGATTGCTTTCATTAAAAGATTATATTTTGGCCAAAAAGAAGGAATTAAAAAAATTATATGTAGGGATGAAAATAGGTTAGGTCAAGCTAAACTTTAACTAAATAGACTTGAGTCTATATGGTAAATTAAAGGCTTAAACTTGGTCTGAAACTTGCATAAGCCTTTTTTCACAGCTCAGATTTGAGCCTACTTAAAACCTAATTTAACCTAAAAGTTTATTTAAAAGCCTACTTAAAAAAAACCTACACTTGCATTTTAGTTTTAAATGTCTTAAATATATTTTAGGATTATTATAGTATACAATATATAACATAATTTATCAATTATAATATATAATAATTAAAAGGACTTATCAATTATAATACAAGATAACAAAAAAATAACAACATTAAAATTAATATACAAATCCAATATGATTGAAAATATAACTAAAAATAATAAAAATAAATTAATTAAAAATTAAATAATAAAATTAATGTGTTTGTAATATATTATATTATATGTGTGTAAATAAGCCGGCCTATTAGGATCGTAGGCTAAGCCTTAAATAGGTTTTGAAGTAAAAGTCTGAACTTGCCTTGAGCCTATTTATTAAGTAAGCTACGTTGAGCTTGGAATAGGTTAGGTTATAGAACCATGTTAAGAGCTTGACTTACTCCTACCCCTATTTATATAAATGTTATCAAATAAAAAAAAGATTATATGAATTATTTCAGTGACTTTTATAAATTGTATATTCTATTAAAATAATTAGATAATTTATAATTAAACTTCCAGAGATTCTGGATTAAAGCTTTTAACCTGAAACATTAATATGTTTTCATTTTTTGGGTGAGAAATAAGGTTTTTTTTTTCTCCCCTTGGCCAACAGAAATAAGATTTTAAATGCTACAATTTATTAGACTCTGTACATAAAAAATTTAAAAATATACTGGGACTTTCGAGATACGAATCTAACCTTGAACTCCAACAAGGGTCGAAATTTGCCATTGCATGTCATATATATCTACATATGTATACTCCTTTTTTTATGAAAAATAACTTACAAAAAAGATTAAATTTTTTTCTCTAAAAAGCGATTTATAAATATGACTAATATACTTTCTCCAATCCTATTTATAGGATAAAAAAGATTTTTTTTCTATTTATAAATCATTTTATTAAATTTTTATCATAATTTTTTATTTATAATTGCTCAATCATCCGCATAACTTAGAACTATGTCAAATAAAAATTTCATTTTTTAAGCTTCAGAATTCATCCTTTCATGTTCTGAAAATAAATAAAGTATTTTAAAATTGAAAGTGGACACTGAATTTATAAAAATTGATTAATCAGGTTTTAAAAAAGGAATTTCATTGGATAATAATTTTTTTATCAAATCTATTGATATTTACACTCCACTAAATGTTAAAAATAGAATATATTATTAATATATATATATATATATATATTTAATAAGGATAAAGTTAAAAATTATTAAATTTATAATTTATAAATAAAAACTAATATATATGTATATATATATTTATATATATGTATGTATACATAAAAGGGCTTATAAGCCCATGTCATGCCTTGTTACGAGCTAAGCAGCACCATGCGGGTCCATTTTACGAGTCTTCAATGTGAGAGTTGAAATATTTTATTAAAAATGTTTCTTATGACCGGCCATACTTATTCCTTTATAAATGTCTTGAATTTGGAGATATACGGTGATCTTAATAATTTTCAAGATTCAACTAACCTAAATTTCTTATTATATTAAAAAAGTATAATTAGCTCTTCATTTATTTTCACAGCATTCCACAAATGGGACTAATGTTTAAAAATAGAGTTATTGATTTTTTTGCTCTTCAATTTTATCTCAAAGTGATTGAAAACTCTAAATTCAATTATAATTCAACTCTGTCTTTAAACGTTAAAGATTTTTTCTCTCATCACTTTACGTTAAAAACACTTAACATTCTTTTATCATTAATGAATCCCACCAGTTTTTATTTGATTAATGATCATTTTTGCCTTTAACTTTTATCTAAAGAGTTAGTAGGTATCATCAACTCAAATTGTATAATAAAAATTATTAAAAAATGTAATATGAAGCTTACCAATAGTGAAAAGACGATGATAAAATAATAATGTGATAAGAGAAAAGAATCTTTAATGTCAAATGATAAAAATCAATTCATAATTGAATATCCATTGACCTTTCAAGTAAAAGTAATAGACAAAAATAATTTTAATTCTAAAAATGTAATAGTATTTTGTTCAATGAAGTAATACTTTAAGCCAAAAGTCATATGCATATACATAAGCATCAAAAATGTAAATCTAGATTTATTTTATCCCATAATGCAAATCTAGAATCTAAAATGGACGTGCGACGTCCTGTTAGGCCAACACGAAAGCCAGAAGAACAAGGCTTTAATCTATTATCATAACACCGATTTCACACGGCGCTGAGCTTGAGTTCCCTTCATCCCTTCTAAATGAAGTAAAATTATCTCTTTCCTGCAAACGATGATGCATATTCTTCGTCTCTATTTCTTCACCTCAGCTGGCGGGAGCGAGATTTCTTCCTATTTCTTGATATTTCTCCTTATAAAACTCCTCGCCGTAATCTCTATGAAACATCACAAAGCCTTCCTCAAAGCCTCTTCCATCCACAGTCTCATCCTTTCTCGCACTCCTTCGTCGTTTTGGTGGTGACTTCCAGATGACGACAGGGTAATCCTGGAACCCCGCCAATCTGATCCGAACGAAGCTCCATTGTTTTCGACGGAGGTCGAGAGGATGCGGCAGTTGATGCTCCGTTGATGTAGAATTCAAACTACTCGGTTAGCTCTTGTGGGCGGAAACCACATCGCCGCTAGGTTTTTGCACTCGCAAAGTTTTTTATAGCCTTTTTCCCCCCACCATCTTATAGCAATCGTCGTCTCTTTTCTGCATATCATTTGTCTTCATTTTCGTCTTTTGTGAAAGGGTTTCGCTCGGTGGTTAAGGGTTTAAAGGAACACTATGGATTTAAGTTGTGGGTTTGTTGAATCCACGAACAGAACCCATGTGAAGAAGCACTGCATGGTGGGAGAATTGCTTTGAATTCCGGTATTGTTTTGGGAATTAAGATTCCTTGTACACGCTTCTTCCACATTTTGTCTCGGGCAATGCTTATGGCTATGATTCTCGTCGCTCTGCCTCTTTTAGGGTTTATCCTCAAGGAGGGATTTTCATCAAGCTCACGTCATGCAATCTATTCTGGGGTTGAAATTGCCATGAATGGTTCTGTCAATGCCCAAATGCTGAATTCGGAATCAGTTTCGCGGTGCATAAACACTGCCGTTTGGCAGTGTTTTTTTTTTTTTTTGCTTTTTTAAACTATAATTTATTATAATAATAAATAAATATTATACAATTATTATTTTAATATTTAATAAACAAATAAATATTAAGGTTAAAATTAAATATGAACAGATTAACTCATTAAAATATAATTTGAACAGTTTATATATAAATTTTGATCTGAACAGTTCAAAACTGTATTGAAAATATTAAAATTATAAATAAAAATATTTTTATTTTATTATTTTGCACAGTTATTTATCTATGAAAGATAATATCATTCAAAACATAGTCAGGTATTAAATATAAGTACTTCTCTCTATAAAAAAAATTCAAATATTGATTTATTACAGTGTAAGAATTAGCTTATTTCGCTAGATTCAACTCTTTTTTAAATTATTCAATTATTTTATCATTCAAAGTATAGTCAGATATTAAATATAAGTACTTCTCTTAATAACAATTCAAAAATTAATTTATTACAATGTAAAAAATTAGCTCATTTTACTAATTCAATGCACTTTTTTTTTTAATTATTCAGATTATTTTGTTTTTTTTTCAGTACAGTTTTCAATACTCAAACCAAATTTTCATTCAAACTATTTAGGTTCAATTTTAAACATCGTAATATTTATTAGTTTATTAAATATTAAAATAATAATTTTATAATAATTATTTATTATTATAATAAATTGTGGTTTAAAAAAAGGGAAAGCCAGGGGTGTCTGTGACATGTCAGCCATGTAGGGCCACCTGTTTATATTGTTTGGTCAAACAACTTGTTTAACATCAATGTGAGCTTGAGACTGCGGGCATAATTGCTCCATTTTTTAATTCTAACGAAAATAAAGTATCCAATTGTCCCTCCAAAAGAATTTACGAATATTTTTACCCCTCAACCCTTAAAAATATAAAGTGCGCCACTACTTTCAGTGCTTATTTTAATTTGTTTATATATATCCCTCCTCCAAATTGCTATGTGGTATGATGGATTATCTTGTATAATAATTAACATCATGGAAGATCTATATTGATTGATATGATTCCCGTCTGATCCTTTTTGAATTTCGGATTGAAGATATTGTTCAATAATACGCCTATGCTAATAATGTTCATGCAGTTGCATATATACAAACTAGAAGGGAAAGGTTCAATCAGGATAGATGTTTACTCTTCAAACCGTTTTGCTGGATATTGACTTCATGAATTCATTTACAGGTTGAACTTAAAACTGAGTGCCCATTTGAATTTTAATTGGGTATAATAAATTATAAAAGTAATTAATTAAATGATAAATTTTAATTATAATTAATTATATTATAATACAATCTGTTTGGGATATTATTTTTTAAAATTAAATTTAACAGATTAAAGATATTTGATAATTTATTATTAATTTTAATTATATAAATTATCACAAAGGACATTGCATTTCAATTAAATTATTAATAAATTTATATTTAATATTATTAAAGTTGTTACATTTTATTTAAGAAGTAAAATATATTATTGGTTTTATTTTTATTATTAATTTGAACTTTTTTCTATAATATTTTTGAATCATTTTTTTGTAATCTTTTTCACGCTTTTGATCGATTTTCTACGGAAGCTCAAATTACCAGCTTTTAAGAAAAATTGATTTTAAAAAAAATTAATTAAATGAAATTATGTGTTTGGACATTTTTTTTGGTTAACTGATTTTTTTACTGAAAAATCGATTTTGCCTAACCAACAGGCACTGATTTTATTTTTTTTTTTCTGTGGGAGACTATAATAAATTAAAATATTCATATACACAAAATTTAGTAAACTAAATACATAATATAATCTTTTTTTTTTGGTAATTCATTGAAGTTCTGTCAGCATTTGCCTGTAATATTTTACAAACAGTAAACACATGTGAAATGTTATTGCAGCAATCTTATTATTATTATTATTATTATTGTGAGCAGTAGCAGCAGGAGCAATAGGAGTAGTAGGAGGAGTAGCAGGAGCAGCACCACCATTTTTTACAGTACATTCAAATTGTGGCTTGAGATTAAGAAGGAACATAGACTTATGCCTTGTTTATTGCTGAATCTGACTGATAATCAGTATGTTTGAAGATTCTGTCCAACTACGTTACCTACTATGCCCCTTTCTCTCCTCCTTCACATTGAAAGAGTTAATCCCTTCTTCACAAGAAATGAACAGATGAGAAAGTTGGTGGAATCATCTCCTCTGCACTTGGAACTGGAAAATGCAAGAGTCAAATTTTGTTCAACAGACAAATCGACAAATCGACAATATGATTATTTAAACAGCTATTCTGGAAAGGCTGTATTTCCAAGTAAAGGTTTATAATTGTCAATACAATATTTAGATAAGAAGTTGAACTACCACTTATAACCACGTATATATCCTTCATAACTATCAATGTGCTGCTGCTTCCATCTATAAAAAGCCCCCATGTATCACCTCAAAATCACAATCACAACAACATCGAAAACATTCAGAAGTCTGAGTAATTAAGAAGTTGGAAATTCCAATACCATGGCTTCTCGCGTTTCATCATTCATTTTATTACCAAAGTTCTCTCAATGACCAGCCATGTGATGGCTGAAGGAGCAAGAATTCTTCTTGAATCATCTTTGCCAGAGCCAAAATTACCTGAGTTGCCTCCACTCCCTAAGCCAGAGGTGCCTCAAGTTCCTGAATTGCCTAAACCAGAGTTACCTCATGTGCCTCCTAAGGTTGAGTTGCCTCCACTTCCAAAGTTAGAAGTACCTAAAATCCCAGAAATTTCCAAACCAGAATTGCCAAAAGTCCCAGAAATTTCTAAGCCTGAGTTACCAAAAGTTCCTGAAATCCCTAAGCCAGAGATGCCTAAAATTCCAGAAATTCCTAAACCGGAATTGCCCGTGGTGCCGAAGATGGAAGCATCTGAAGTCTCAAAAATTCCTAAACCAGAGTTGCCCGAGGTGCCAAAGGTAGAAATACCTAAAGTCCCAGAAATTCCCAAGCCGGAATTGCCTAAAGTCCCTGAAATTCCCAAACCTGAGACACTGAAAGTTCCGGAAATTCCAAAGCCAGAATTGCCTCAGCTTCCCAAAGTTGAGTTGCCACCTTTACCCAAGCCAGAAGTACCTAAACTTCCTGAAATTCCAAAGCCACACTAAACTGATGCACTCTTCACTACATTGTGTTGTTTGAGATAATAATGGGCAGCTACCTAATAGCTTATACTATATGATAGATGGGTTTATAGCAGCTATTCATGGGATTATTTATTCTTCCGGGTTCCGATCTCATTAGCTCTATTGAGCTCTGTTTGTACTTCATATGTCATTAAATTACACGCTATGTTCTCTACTGAGCTCTGTTTGTACTTTACATGTCATTAAATAACACGTTATGTTCGTTTGAGATGTTTCCGTCAATTTTATTGCAATATATGTATATTGATTGATTACGAATTTGTAATTCATCATGCAGCAGACTAGCAGTCTTTAGTATAGTGAAGTTGAATTCAAGGTTAATTGCTGTATGAATTTTGATAACTTCTCCAAGCCCTGCAATTTTGAAGCTTAGATTTCACCTCCTATAGCCCGAGCTGAATAAACTAAAATACGCCTGAATTGTTTTTGATCAAAAATCATGGGAACAATATTATTATTACTATTATTATTATTATTATTTATTATTATTATTTATTATTTCAGGGAACCTTTTCCCTAAATTTATCTGACAAACAGGAATATTTATTTTTCTTGAAAGAAAATCGGGTATAAGTGAAACGTGAAGACTACTATATGAATTTAATGAAAGCTTGAGTTGAGGGCTTGAGGCAGACAAATAATGAACTAGAAGATTGAGTGAGGATAATCAGGACCATGCTATACACCCTCCAGTCCTATTGTTCGCCACGTTCTAAAATATTTTCTTGATCCTTTATCTAAGCCGCCTTTTCTTGTTTTGTTTTTTTTAACTTTTGATGCATAGTGTCGAAGATTTTTTTTTTAACAAATTTTAAAAAGAAGTGTAATTTACTAATTTTCAAAAAAGTTCTTACCACATATCAAATCATTTTGTTGAAGAAATTTAGGGACAAACTTAAAACGTAATTTAGTTTTAAGAAAATTTTATTATTCTAAAATGTGACTTATGATTATAAAGCCTCTGTAATACCCGTCAAAGGCTAATTTCAAATTGCGTATGGCCCACGCAAACTTCGTTTCTAGTGTGCCTGCAAGGAGAGAAAAGTGTGGTGAAAGAAAAAGTGGGAAGAAAATGATACTGTTTTTGCTTAGAAAGAAAAAAGGGAGAGAGAGAGAGAGAGAGAGAGAGAGAGAGAGAGAGAATTGAGAAAAAAAATAATATGTGCGATTCACGTGTTTTTATTTTCAATTTTTTCTCTTTAGATTTGTTGAGATTCTGGAGGAAAAAAAATTCAATTTTAATTTATTTATAAATTATTGTTTATATAAAATTAACAATTTTTTACTATTTTCTCTCACCTAGCCAAACATAAGAGAAGACAATTATGGCCCTGTTTAGAAATCTGATTTGAGAACAGTTTTCTATTTTTCAGAACAAGAGAATAAAAAAATTTATTTGATAATATGTTTTCAAAAAGTGTTTTGAAGAACAAAAAAATAAAATATTATTCTAGAGAAGAAAAAAATGAAAACAACTTTTACGTGTTTTGTGATTATTGTTTTAGACAATAAAAGAGAATGAGAAAAACATTTATTTCTATCATTTTTTTGTTCTTAGAACATGTTTTACAAAACATTCAATTTTTAAAATAATAAAATAAAAACAGTTTCAAACAGCCCGAACACCTTTTTTTTATTATAACTTCACTTTTCTTTTCAGAAAAATGACAATTAGGGACCCCATAAGATTATCAATAACAATTATAGACATTAAATTATTAAAATCTTAATAAAAGATCATAATTTTTACATGTAATTTAAAAAATATGAATATTCAATTAAAAAATATACTAAACACACTTGAAATTATTTATGATATCAATTGAGAAATTATGAAAGTTAGTTAAGAATCTTAATTTTTTATTGTTACTATACAAATAAGTCATTTGAAAAATTAAGTAAATATATTTAAAATTATTTGTAATGTTAGTTAGGAATTTATGAGAGTAGTTGTGAATCACAAGCTAATTGCTTACAATTTTTTACTTTCAATATATAGATAAATTACTTGAAAAATTTACTAAATACATTTGAGATTATTTGTAACATCAATTAAGAATTTATAAAAGTTGGCTATGAACTGTAAATTAATCACTTGTTATTTTTTTCTATTGCTTAAAAATTCAACAAAAAATAGTTGAAAATCTCTGTAACATTAATTGAAATATTATTAAAGTTTGTTGTAAATCTCAAATTAATTAATAAAATATAATTTATTATAAATAAGAACCATGAACTATTATTAAAATTTTATTAATTTAAAATTTGTAATTCTTATTAATATTTTTATAGGATCCCTAATTATCATTTTTTTTTTTCTCTCTATTTTTTTTCATTTTCTTTTGTAAGCTAAGCATGCGATCAAGGTCATTGCTAGAGCCGTCAATTAGGGCTGGTCCTTTTAAGTTCAAAAAAATTGAGAGCCAAACTGCTGCTTTGATCTTTAAAAAGGTAAATTGGACTTAAAAGGGTTAAGTCCGAAAATAAAAGGGCCTGCCTTTTAGGGTCAGGGCCAGCCCTTTTAAGTCTTAATATATTTTTTTTGAAAAAAACAACCTAAAAAAATAAACAAAAAGAAGACATCACATTACTCAAACTCAGCACTCACTCTCTAATCCAGATAGTAGACACGCACATTATTATTTGCTTACTTTGAATATTTTTGCATTCTTTAAATACATTAAAATTATGATTTTGTTTTATTATTTATTGCAAATAATGAGGATGAAGAAGGAAGATATAAAAAGCTTAATATATTTGCCACTGGTGAGGATCCACAAGAAGAAGGATCAAATCATATTAATGTTGATGATAATGAAAATCATCAAAATTTAGCTGATGATGCTACCAATGTGTAATTGATTTTGGAATGTTATTTTTTTTTTATTAGACTTAAAATTTTTTTCTATGAATTGATTTTATTTTATTTTTCTAGACTTAATGTAATGTGTAATAACTTTGTTAAGATTTTAAATATGTTTTTAAATTTTTAAATTAAAAAATTTTTTAAAAAAATAGGACTGAAGTCCTGAGGGCCGGTCCTTCAACCCTTAGGGCCAAGACCGAACTGCTAAAAATAAAATCCTAAGATATAATCAAACTTAAAAGGGTCATCAATTTAAGTTTTGACTCCTGAAGGGTTAGCCTTAATTGACACCTTTAATAGCCATTTTTGTTTGTGTTAGGTTTATCAACATGCAATTGGGTCTGCACACGTGTCTGTGTCAACATAAAATGTATACGGAAAATATGCGTGTACATGCATACATGTATTTGAATTTGAATAAAAAAATTCAGATTAAAATATCAGATGACGGACGCAAACAAGACTGATATGTGATTCCGAGCTGAGCTAAGCCGGACGACATTTAATGATAAGGTCGACAAGTGAACCAACCCAATTACCGGGTCTAAAGAAAGTTCGTGTGGATCATGTAGAGTTCGGTATCCCGATGGCCATGATTGATGATAACCCATTTGATCTAAACTTCTCCTTTCAATCCTTATTATAATAAAGCCTTTCCTCGTGACCCTTTGTGTGTGTGTGTGACACCTTTTATTTATTTTGAAGTATTGATTTTTTTAATATTTTTTAACCTGCTAAACAACCTCATAACTAACTAGTTAACCAACCTCATAATTAATATTTTTTATTGATGGTAAATTTTTAAATTTTCAATACATTCTGATGGCATTTTAGATCATACTCATGAAAAAGCCATATATACATATAGATATATGAACCAAGTGCCAAGTGTGGATGAGGTCAAATTCCTTTTCCCTCCTGTGAAGTTCCTCACGTTTTAGTTTCCTATTGCACTGTTTTTAATAAGTAAATATTTTATATTGAAATAACCCCACTAAAATATATTTCTCTAGCATGAGAATATTGAATTTTTCTCCTCTAAACCAGAAGTAGTTGTAGATGTCACAGGTCAAGACTGTTCAACTACACAAACCCATCACCTGATCAATCCCATGCATGTATGCAAGCGTAGTCTCAATTGCTTCCAACTGATATCTCGTCGGCTTTACTATTTCCAAAATCTATGATTAAAATTTACAAGCCAATTTGGTTTCTGGAAAATATTACACTTGTAAGTTTTTCTCTGTGTGCATGTTCAAATGATATTTAGGGCGAGAAGTTAAGCTAACAGTTTATCACACGATTTTTAGTACATGTGTGCTTCTACTTCATCTATAAAAGGTCCTCATATATCATTCCAAAAACATAATCACAAGCATAGAAAAACCAATTGGGAAAACGATTACATGGCTTCCGACAGTTTTTCTTCTCTCGCCATATTGTTACCCCTTCTGCTTTTGAGTTTCTCTTCAATAACCAGCCATGTAAAGGTTGAAGGGGCAAGAATTCTTGAATCATCTTTGCCAGAGCCAAAATTACCTGAGTTGCCTCCACTCCCTAAGCTCGAGCTGTCTCAAGTTCCTGAACTGCCTAAACCAGAGTTATCCCGTGTACCTAAGGTCGAGTTGCCACCATTTCCAAAGCTACAAGTGCCTGAACTTCCAAAATTGCCTGAAACCCCTGAAATTCCTAAGCCTCCAGAGTTACCAAAATTTCCTGAAATTCCAAAGCCAAGGATGCCTAAAGTTCCAGAAATTCCTAAATTACCTGAGTTTCCTGTGATGCCCATGGTAAAAGTACCAGAAATTCCTAAGCCAAATTTGCCTGAGGTGCCAAAGCCAGAAGTAAAAAGAGTCCTAGAAATTCCTAAGCCAGAATTTCCTGAAATCCCTGAAATTCCTGAGCCAGAGATGCCAAAAGTCTCTAAAATTTCCGAGCTAGAGGTGCGTAAGGTCCCAGAAATTCCCAAGCCAGAATTGCCTAAAGTCCCAGAAATTTCCAAGCCAGACATACCAAAAGTCCCAGAAATTCCAAAGTCAGAATTGCCTAACGTCCCTGAAATTCCTAAGCTAGAGTTACCAGAAGTCCCTGAAATTTCCAAGCTAGAGATGCCTAAAGTCCTAGAAATTCCCAAACCAGAATTGCCTAAGGTCTGAGAAATTCCTATGCCAGAAATGCCAAAAGTCCCCGGAATTCCCAAGCCAGAATTGCATCAACTTCCTAAGGTTGAGCTGCCACCATTACCAAAGCCTGAGTTTGCCGCTGTGCCAAAGCCAGACGTTCCCAAGATTCCTGAATTTCCAAAACCCCACTGAACTATCATTTCTTAAACAAGGATATTACTTATTTCCCCTAGCTTATATTCATCAGATGTAATAAATGGGTTAAATTGCTCTCGTGAGTCAATTTAGTAATATAATTTCTGTATAACTTGTCGTTACATCTTCTCACACAGTGTTCATGTAGTTTGCGATCATTATTTGAAAGTTTAGTTGAGCTAATGTTACTTAATTCAGCTTCTTGCTGCCGTCCGTGTGTTACTTTTTAGTTTATATCTGTAAAGACGTACGAAAGAGAAATACACTTGGATGGATTTTGAGCAGAGGACGTACTATGCATTGCCAAAAACTTCTGGAAAGTGTTCTATTGTAAACTTTTTGGAAATTAAAGTCAGACTCTAGTTTAGCATTTGAATGATGATTTTTCTTCTGCCTGTATCTGATTCTTTCCCCCCTCGTCTTCATCTTTAGATTTTCTTCTCAATTAGCAGTAGAAGACGATTCCTTTTGTGATTCTTTGGGGAAACTCGCGCGTGAAAGTGTAAGATTCATTACGTACCGACCTGTCGCTCTCGAAAAATAAGGATAACTGTACGTACACTAATACAAACTTGTGGGGATCTTATCCGTGATAAATTTTAAGCCAACAAAAAAATAGTAACATGCTTCTAATGCTCCATCCATAATTAGGAATTCTATACTTAATTGATAAAAAAGCCGCGCAATTAATAAGGAAAGCAAACAGCCTCTTAGTCTCAAAAAATATGATCAAATTAACAACAACGAAGGCATGGGAAAGATAATGACAGAAAGTGCAGCTAGAGTTACGTTATTGTTAATGGCCACATTGGCCATTACTGTTCCATGCCTCGTCGACGCTAACATTGGAGATTTTGACGATTATCTCCGAGAAAAAGCTAAGCAGGCCCGGAGAGTGGCTCTTGAAGCATACGAACCTAACCCTTTGAAGGTCACGTCAGAGCTCAATATGCATGTCCATCTGTACGTAAGCTCTTGTACGTAAAGCTTTTGAATGTGGAAATTTAGGGTTTTCTTTAGTTTTCACAATAACACGTAATGAATGGATGATGCAGGGCGATGAATGAGGCCAAAAACAGCAGTAGAGGGAGGGACTTGAGCGAGAAGAGACACAAAGGACCGTGCTTGACCACCAACCCAATCGATCGATGCTGGAGATGCGACAAAGACTGGGAGAAGAATCGCTTTAAGCTAGCCGAATGTGCCATGGGTTTCGGCCGCAAGACCACCGGCGGGTTGGGCGGTAAGATCTATGTCGTCACAGATTCTTCCGATGTCGATGTAGCTAACCCGAAACCGGGAACTCTGAGGTACGCGGCGATCCAGAAGGAGCCATTGTGGATCATATTTGCGCACAGCATGGTGATTAAGCTGAAACAGGAGTTGCTGGTGAATTCCGACAAGACAATCGATGGACGAGGAGCCAATATTCACATAAAAAGCGGTGGCGGCCTCACCCTGCAATTCGTGAAGAACGTCATCATCCACAATCTTCGCATTCGCAATATCAAAGCAAAGAAGGGAGGTCTGGTGAGGGATGCTCCGGACCATGTCGGGTTGAGAACCAGAAGCGATGGCGATGCCATCAGCATCTTCGGATCCACCAACGTCTGGATCGATCACATCTCGATGTCCAACGCCGACGACGGGCTAGTCGACGCCATCATGGGTTCCACCGCCATTACCATATCAAATTGCCACATGACGAGACACAACGATGTAAGTAACTAATTACTTGCTTCAACGACATGATAAATGAAGGAAACGAATTCATTCGTTAACAAGGTAGAAGAAATAAATGCAGGTGATGCTGTTTGGAGCAGGAGACGTGTATCAACAGGACAGGGTGATGCAGGTAACGGTGGCGTTCAACCACTTTGGGAACGGATTGATACAGAGGATGCCGAGGTGCAGACATGGGTGGTTCCACGTGGTGAACAACGACTACCATAACTGGATAATGTACGCCATCGGAGGAACGGCGAATCCGACCATACTCAGCCAAGGAAACCGGTTCAGTGCTCCGAACAACGAAGCAGCGAAGCAGGTTACAAACAGAGTGAGTGCGCCGGAATCGGCGTGGAAAAACTGGCGGTGGCAGACGGAGCATGACGAGTTTGTGAACGGAGCTTTTTTTGTACCGTCGGGAACACCTATAACTGAATCTAAATTCGACAAAGAGGGTTTGATACCACCCAGACCAGGGATTGAAGCTCCCGAACTTGCGCGCTTTTCGGGTCAGATCAAGTGCAAGGTCGGCAACCCTTGTTAGTATATTATCTTTGTTTGAAGAAAATGAACAAAACAGATAGGATTAATCCTCTAGCTAGGACCAATTGGAGCTTTAGACTCACAGTACTTAGTTGAAGTTTTTATTTTAAAAAGCTCCGTCTGTTTTATTTTGAAACGAATGTATTTATTTATCTTTGTTTACAATTAGCGTAACCATTTTTGTGATTCTAGCGTATATTTCCATGTACTTTGTACGCTGCAGGTCAAATTCATAATTCTCATTTGTAAAGTAATGCTAGTTTTTTGTTTTTCGTTAAAAATTATTTTTTATTCCAACCTTTTCCGAAACGTGCGTTATCCGTTTAATGAGAAGGACCAAATAATTTTTTATCTCATTTCAATTTCAAGTGAATAAATTAAATGATATGATTGGAGAGAATTCTTTGCAAAAAGTTCTTATTCTTAAAATACATTATCAATTTATGTGCTAAATAGACCACAGTAAATGTCCCGGCACACACACAAACATACAGATGATATGATAAAAACTAAAACTGAGAATTCAATTGCTATAAAAAAACTAAATTTTATTATGAATATCATTAATAATATTTACATTTAATTATTAACTTTCAAGCATTTTAATTTGCAAATGACACTGCAGATTAACAAGTTACGTTCATATTATAAGCAGTAAGTCAGCTTGGATATTTAATTTACTATATATAGATTTTTTTTTAATTATTATGATTAAAGTGATTTGGTGGTTTGGTAACCAGGGCGATGTTTCGATCACTACTACTCCTAACTTCTCTGCCGTTACCCTTAAACTCCCACATAGTTGTCCAAATTCAGAGAACTTCGTACTTGAACTTGCCTTTCATCAGTCCATCAGCCACACAAGGATCGTAATATAAGTGGAAGATCGTCGACTTTTCGAACAGGAATATTAACGGACACAATTATTCGTAGCAAACGATTCTCTTGATTAATATTATTAAAACTTTGGCATGCATGAAACTGTATCAATCACTAATCATCAAACACCAAAACTGGATTGAACAAAAAGAATATTTGAAAGGAGAGGAACCTTAAATTGAATACTCCTTTCATTTAAAAATATAAAATATTTTTTAAAAAATTAAATATTTAAAAAATATAAGATATTTTTAATCTTTTAAAATATAATTATTATTTTTTTAAAAAATAATTCTATTAAATAGATGACTTTATATTTTTTTAGAGTGAAATACTTTATTAAATAAGAATACATATAAAAAGATAAAATTAATTTAAAAATAAATAATTATTTTATTGTTAGATAAAATTTAATTAAAAATATTTTATATTTTTAAACGAAGAGAGTAAATGATAATTGAACCTTTCACAATATCCCAGCTAGTTTACTTCGCAATTTGGAAAACAAAATAATGATAATAATATGATACACGTGTCTTAGGTCTATGTCAGATGCACCATTTTGCCAATAACTAAAAGCTACGACTTGAATGGAAGCAGGATCACAGATCAGAAGGCGAAGGCTCTAGTTTTAATCATTGCATTGTCAGGCACCGTCGGACCTGAAACTACGTTCAAGGGTTGCGGATTTTTGCCCCATCCTTTTATTTGCATCACTCCATTTTTCCTTCTCTATAGACAACAGAACAACTCTGGGAATTAACAACTACTCTGAAAAGGAACTCAGGCAACAGAAGCACCATGGTCGACCATTTCACAAGCCTTTTATCTATTATCGTATCCGCCCTTGCAATTCTTTTTTTTTTTTTTATGTTTTAGATTTATGATGAGTTATATTTCATTAATTTATTTTATACATACAAATAAGTTTCTAAAGTAATTAATAGTTTAGTGAGAGAATAACGCTTTCCTCCGAGACAAGGAGGGGTTCCACGAGGTAACAAATTAAATCTCTCTCTTCTCTACTTGGACTGTTTTGGACCCCGAGAGAAACTTGGGTACGATGAAGAAATAACCACTCCTTTCTTCTACCTTTAATTTGTGTGAATAAAAACAAACCTTTCACCTAATTTTTCTTCTTTTCCATCTCCACCTATGTACATGTACACGAGTAACTTTACAAGACAATTGTGAGAGCCATAGCCATTCACGCTTTTAAGCCAACTAAAAAATAGTCAAGCCCTCCGTCCCTCAATCTATAAATACAGATGATCCTTGCACTTCCAGGGGAGGAATTCAAAACAGCAATCAGGAAAGCCCAGAAAACCCCTCAGAACAATAGATTATTATTATTATTAATAAAAAAAAAAAATAGAAAGGCATGGAAAAAGAAATGGCACTTAGAATTACAGTATCGTTAGTCGTCGCATTATTGGCCATTACAATTCCATGCCTCGAGGCTAACATTGGAGAGGTTGATGAGTATCTCCAAGAAAAAGCAACGCAAGCCCGCAGAGCAGCTCTCGAAGCCTACGAGGCCGATCCTTTAAACGTCACGTCCGAGCTTAACATGCACGTTCATCTGTATGTGATCAATCTCTTGATAATTCTGTGAAAGATTTTACAATGTTATCTCTCAGTACATAAACCTCTTAATTGCTTTGTTTGATGCAGAGCGATGGATGATGCCAACAGCAGCAGAGGGAGGGACCTGAGGGAGAACAAGAATCACAGGGAGAAATGCAAGGCCACCAACCCAATAGACCGATGCTGGAGATGCGACCCAAATTGGGAGAAGAATAGATTTAGGTTAGCCGAATGCGCCATGGGTTTCGGCCGCAAGGCCACCGGAGGGTTGGGTGGTAGGATCTACGTCGTCACGGATGATTCCGATCTCGACATGGTTAACCCGAAACCCGGAACTCTGAGGCACGGGGTGATCCAGAAGGGGCCTCTCTGGATCATATTCTCCCGCAGCATGGTGATCAAGTTGAAGGAGGAGTTGATGGTGTCATCGGACAAGACCATCGACGGTCGCGGAGCCAATGTTCAGATCAGAAATGGCGGGGGCATCACTTTGCAGTTCGTCAATAACGTCATCATCCACAACCTTCGCATTCGCAACATCAAACCTAAGGCGGGTGGCACGATAAGGGACTCCGTGGATCATATCTCTGTGAGAACCAGAAGTGACGGCGATGCCATCGGCCTCTTCGGGGCCACCAATATTTGGATTGATCATATTTCCCTCGCCAACGCCGAGGACGGCCTCATCGACGTCATCATGGGTTCCACCGGCGTTACCGTCTCAAATTGCCACTTGACCAGACACAACGATGTACGCACGTAATCAATCAAATCAATTGCCTGATTGTAATTAACTATAATATTTAATGAGACAAAAAAATAATAAATGCAGGTGATGCTGTTCGGAGGTGGTGAGGTGTATCATCAGGACAAGGTGATGCAGATAACGGTGGCGTTCAACCACTTCGGGAACGGATTGATACAGAGGATGCCGAGATGCAGATACGGGTTCTTCCACGTGGTGAACAACGACTACACTCACTGGATAATGTACGCCATCGGAGGAAGCTCGAACCCCACTATACTGAGCCAAGGAAACCGATTCATTGCTCCGAACAACGATGCGACGAAGGAGATTACGAATAGGGTGGGGACGCCGCCAGCAGTGTGGAAAGACTGGCAATGGCAGTCGGAGAATGACCAGTTGGATAACGGCGCCATTTTCGTTCAATCGGGAAGGCCGATAACTTCCATCGATAGAGGGAGCTTAATCACGCCGAGACCTGGGATTGAAGCTCCGTTGCTTGCACGATATTCGGGTGCGCTCAGGTGCAGGCCTGGTAAGCCTTGTTAGTCTTTAATTGTTCGTCATTTTTCAAGTGTGAAACAAGAAAAAAATAGTTAGATGAATTCTCTAGCTAGCTTCGATGGGATGTTTCGCTTTATGATCACTTGAAGCTGACACTAATGCCGCCTTCACCAGTAGCAATATGTCATTTTCTTTGAGTAGCGTTGTTCAGTTTGAAATTCTCCATGTAATATTATTCACAAGAACTTTGTTTTAGAGGAACCTATTGCTTTAGAGTGATAGCACTTGAAGCACCTCGTTTTTAGTAGGATGTCATGTCATATATGACATGTTGTATAGTTATGTAAGATATTAATTTGTTAATTTAATAACAATTACTTTTAAAAGTTCAATTTCATTTTTGAATACTATTAAGTCCTTGTCATCCTCATAATTTCTACAGATACTATATGATGACGTTGCTTAAGATTTAAACAGAAAATATAATTCAGAAAAAATGTTCCATCCATTTTATTATATGCATAACCTTTCTGTTAGTTTAGCCTTTGATGTTCAAAGCATTCGATGCAATTCTATATATTATCATAGGGCATACAATGGTACAAAATAAACTAACCCAACTACCTTTCTTCCCCTCGTTTTTTTTATATGTAGTCATTTGTCCTTTTCAGATGGCAGCAAGCAATAGTAATAACTCATAATAACAAAACGCTTGAGAAATGGCTAAAAAGAAATCTGCATGAGCTTATGGCTCATGATATTGCTTCAGCTAAATTTCCCAGTAGCAATGCATATTCTCAAAATCAAGTTAGTGATATCATATCATGTCCAAATCTTAAGTTTTGACAAAGTTTCACATTGCAGATAAAATCGTAAGATAAAAAAAAAATCTAAATAAACCATATATAAGACCAATAAACGCGCATTAATCAATGTTCATATCATCTTTCTCTTCAGTCACGCCTGAAATATCTGAAACAATCCATAAAATAATGAGGGGGACATAAGAGCGAATGTAATTGGTAGAATTAATATGCAAAATATGAAAAACATTACCAGAATCAACAATATTGCTAGTCTCGTCGAAATAGCCAGATTGCGCATAGCAGGAGCTGAAGTCGGAGTTGGGGTTAGATTGTCCAAATACTAGCCAATTTTGGGCACATATCAATGCTTTAGTCATCTGAGGAGATAACGAACTCCTATAAGAATCAAGTACACGGCCACCAATGCTAAAAGCTGATTCACAAGTCATAGTAGAAATTGGCATAGCCAACACATCACGTGCAATTAGGGATAGCACTTCATATCTTGTTGCATTTTCTCTCCACCAAGACAAGATATCAAACGAACCATCATCCTCAACTAACTCTGTTGAAAGATACCTGTCCAACTCTGTCTGATATGATGAGAATTTTTGTATTGTTGATGCAAACCATTCGTTAATTTGATCATAGTTGTGAGATGATGGCACCTCTGATCTGCCAACATCTACAAAATCAAACCCCCAAATAGTATCTTCAGGTTGGTTACTTGCTCTAGAGTACTCATCAAGCAAACGATACAAGATATCTTTGACCTTTTGTTTCATCGCCATAGATACCTCAAGATCATGGCAAATATCTTCAAATACATGGTTCACATGAGCCAATTTATAACGGGGATCTAAAATCACTGGTATCACCAGCAATAGGTTCAAATTTTCTAGCTTTCCCCAATATTTATCATACTTACTTTGCATCTTCTCAGTCAATTTCATAACAAGAGGATCAGGATTTAAACTATTCTCATTCAACATGACCCGAATGTGAGCAATTTGATGGAAGTATATATCAGATGTCACATGAACTTCTCGGAGTAAGAACCTTTGCGCAATATCATAAAACACCTTGAAAAATCTGAGGAACACATTCGCATTCCTCCAATCATGCGTCACAGGTGGGCCAATAACATCTTCCCTAAAATGTGCATTATATGCCTCATCTTCATCTTTCATCCTATCAAACACCTTTTGGAACTTCATGGCAGTTTCCAGCATCGCATATGTAGAATCCCAATGAGTAGAAACATCTAGGCTCGGAAAGCTTTCATTCTCAAGTTTTTCTGCTTTAGCAAAACTTTTGAATCTTTTAAGTCTTGTAGGAGAGGACCGGACATATCTAATAGCATTACGAATGGAGCTAATGTTGTCATGCAAGTCCTTCAACCCTTCATAAACTATTGAATTCAAAACATGCATGTAACACATGACATGTAGATGATCACCTCCACAAACCAAACCATCCCAATTCTTCAATCGGCTTTTCAAGTAAGCCAACACTGTGTCATTGGATGTAGAACCATCCATGGTTATTGAGAAGACTTTATCTATTTCCCAATCCAGCAAACACTTTTCCACTATCCTCCCAATTGTATCATCCCCATGCTTTTCAACCATACAAATATCTAGAATTCGTTTCTGTAAATCCCATTGATGGTTAATGAAATGAGAAGTGACGCACAAGTAATTAAAGTTTTGAACTGACGTCCATGTGTCTATAGTTAGGCAAACACGCCCACAAGATTCTTTCAAATACTTCTTTAACATTTTCGCCTCTTCAAGGTAGAGTTTCCAACAATCCCTGGCAACTATTGTCTTGGAAAGGATAGGGAATCGAGGCTTCAAATGGTTAACAAATTGTCGAAAACCATGGCCTTCAACCACTTGAAATGGAACATCATCACATATTAGGTACTCTGCCAGATCTCTTCGATGTTTTTTACGTTTATATTTCTGGCGGACCAGGCTTCTTGCAAGACCAACCCCGACACCCCCAAAGTAACTTGACGTCGACCGTTTTAAACCTGGAGACTTGTTCGGGTCAATGGTTGGGCAAATTCCTTCATCCATCATTTCAAAATCACCTGAAAAGCATAACTAATTTCGTCATACCTGTGTGAGTTTACTAAGCATGAAATAAAGTGATCCAATATGCATTAGGCGCCGTGATACAGCTCATTAGTCATAACAATCACTACATATACTACTCTCTCAATTTAACATAGCTTAAGGTTTTGAACAGATTAAGAAAAATGCGGGAAAAAAGGAAGATCACGCGCTAGCTCTTGAGCCACAAAAAACAGGAACCATTTACAGCTTTGAAAATAAAAAATAATTGACTGCAAAAACATCAAAATTTTAAAGAACTATCTGCAATTCAGACTCAAAGGCTCCTAGTGACCAGTGCATCAAACTGCATTCACGATTTAATTTAAGTTCGATAGTTCAATTATGCTTACCGATCTGAATTAGCTTATGAATATAGTTTCAAAATCTTACGTTACTTGTGGAATGACAAGAGAATAAGCTCATTCAGACACGCTTGGCAACCGCGTTAGTGTGTTACAGCTACTAAAAGTACTGTTTATAATCACACCACATACACTCCACAAAAGAATCAAACAATACAAATCAATAACAAGATAAAAAATTCTAAACTGGAGGAAGGCAATTCCTTGTAAGGAATCTCACTTCCTTTTATTTCCCGTTGAAGCCAACAGAAGCCAAAATGAAACTAAAATTCAAAATAAAAAAAAAATCGCATCAACACCAATATTGCTCATAAAACTCTTACAGCTTTTCCAAACAAAACCAGGAAATGAGAAATGCATTATTCACTACAACTTGTCCAGAAGAACAAGTACGATGGATTAGAAGCAAGATTTGACTTTCAAGATTGACACTTGCCCACTAAGTGAAATCACCAATCAAGAATCATTTTTTATGGATTAAACTATTAAAGGTAAAAAGACAAAGCAGAATTTTGGGAGAGGCGGTATATGAAGAGGCAACTTGTCTCTCCCAAGACAAGAACGGTGCAAAAGAGAGGGTACATTAAGGTTCAGGCGAGTTGTAAGGTCGCTATCGATGTCAGAAGTGGAAAATCCCCACATTTGTCATCAGGGAATGGGAATAAAGGTTGTGAATGGGAAGAGAGGAGATTACCTCAGGCAAGATGACCGTTACTCACGGCGGTGGTGGACGACAGAAACTTGACGACGGTGGCTGGGCTGTAGTTGACTCGTTTCTGTTGTGGAGGGAAGCAGACAGTCGCGGGCGGGAGCATGAAAATGGCTTTTGGATTTTGGTCACTCATTTCATTTTACGATTTAATTTTTATTTTCTCCGTATATTGTACGGTTTTCGAATATACGGATACTCCCTCCATCTCCTTTCGATTTAGTTGCTAACCTCGCCCGTCGTCACAATTCTTAACCGTTCATCCGAAATTTTACAGACAATTAGGGCCTGCCAAAGAAGATTAATCACATTCAAGACCCAATAAATTCTTAAACTTTTCTAATTTTCTACAAGTGCAAGGAGCTCAATTGCAATTAATTTTTACCTAATTATTAAAATAACTTTGGTTTATATTAAAAAAAAATAAAGAAAATCTCCCTCGTCAACGGCAGCCTGACCACCACTACATCGGAGGCCCTGACGATAGCAAATAGTCAATGGTGGATCAATTCAAAAAAGTAGCCAAGAAAAGTTTAAATCTTCAACCCCTTTATCTCCAAAATGATGAAGATCAATGAACCAACAAGCAATTCAATATGTAAGGTGCAAAAATAAATGCTACATGTGTATATATAGACATACTATAACTCAGTTATTGTAAACTCTAGACAAATTATTATTTATATCTGAATAATCATTTATACATAATCAAACTTGACTTATTTATGTTTAAAAAAAATTGTCAATTTTTGAATGCCAACTTATTTATTTTTTACAACTTGATCAAATATTATACTAAATAATATATACTTGTGTGTGTCTTATAAATTCATTTTTTAAATATTTTTATAGGCTTTTGTTGAAGCTGGATAAGAAGTTGTTTATATTCAAATAATCATTATCCGTCATTAATTATTTTAATAGACTTTGAACCTGCGATCTTGTAGTACTTATGGCACTTCATAGCTTGCAAATCATTTTTTATTAGTTTCACTGATTTGAAAAGTAAATTTCCATTATTATCTTGTTCTTGTACGGTGAAGTTTAATGGTAGTTAATTCGTCTAACATTGATTGAATTAAACATATTATTATAATTGTATACCTTTTTAAAATTAAATTTAGTAAAATTATTTTAATAAGTTTAATTGTACAAAACTTGCGATCTTATAGTACTGATGACATTTTTTGCTTACAAATTATTTTGTATTAAAATAACTTCTTATTAAATTCATATAATCTAATTTTATTAACAAATAATATTTAAATCATGGCTTATTTTTAATCTCTTGAATGCCTGAATTCTTAAATATTATTTTAGTTTTACTTTTTTAGTTAATTTTAATTTTTATTCTAAAAAAGCTATTAT